TGGGCAATATTAAGTATTGCAACTGGCAAAAGGTCATAACACACTGAAGAAGGCTTTATGTAACAGAGATCATAAAACCAAAAACTCATTCATTTAACTGAAGCCAAAAAAGTATTTTACATTGTGTCAATATGTAGCTCAACATGACTGTATTAATTTGGTGTTTTCAGCATTTAAATATGAAAGGCAAACATGAAGCAACAGCAATCGAAGCTGCCATGTTAAAAGTTCATCAGAAAGAGCAACAGTACACTACTCTCTGCTAAAATAAATCTGACCCAAATCTGATTTATTCTAAAAATTCCTAGAAATTTTATTCTATTTCTGTATTTCTTTAATTTGTCTGTGGTACCTTTTTTGTGTTTGTTTCTTTTTTACTTCATTTGTATTCTTCGTGTGTTATGTTGTGTCATATTTACTATTGAACTTGTGTTTTGATATGACTTATTGGAAATTTGTAATGGTATAGGTTAGGGTTACTTCTGGGAGGGGACTTAAAAATAAAATATATCAAACTGTGTTTCAAACTTTATTTTGTATAACCAAAAAAGCTAACGAAAAACACTTTATTTTACTATAAAGCAATGGCCCTTATAGCCTTTATAGTGGAAACATCTAGAGCTGTAACGATCTGTCAGGATTTCGAAGGATGTTCTGCTATTGTTGATCTTCTATGACAGTAAACTGAATATTTTTGTAGTAGTGGGCTATTTGTCTGACAAAACATGACATCTGAAGATTTCACCTTGGAAATTATAATGGGCATTTTTCCCTATTTCTGCATATTATTTTTACAAAATGCTCAATTGATAAAATTAGAAAATATTCTGCAGATTAATTGTTAATGACATAAATTGTTAGTTGCAGAGCCAGAAAGATATATCCAAAGTGAATCACTAAACCTCATACTCTAGTCTTCCTTTATTCTCACCCTTTTAATTTTATCACAGCGTGTCAATGACTGCATGATTAAAAACTATTGTAGAGTATACCATGTCTCTGTCGACTGATCCTGTTCACCAGCTTCTATGCAGCATGTACAAGGTGATAGGGGACAATGTGTCCTATATTAAATATAGGACAAAATACTCTGATGTTTCCAGTCTTTCTTTACCCCCCAACCCTCCTTCTTTCACTCTCTCTGTCTGTCTCTCTCCCTTAGCACCAACAGAAAATGCAAAACTAATATTTAGCACATGGCTTTTACTGCTATAGCTTTGTTACTGTGGTTATTAATGTTTACAAAGTCATAAACAGAGAATTAAATGCCTGCCATCAAAATCATCCAACTGTCATACATCAAAGAGGAGGTATGCGTGTGAGACTGCGTGTGAGTGTGTGTGTGTGTTTAGCAGATGTTCTGTGCAGCCTGTCAGGCAGCCAGCAGTATCCTGCAGCTGATACTCTCTCTGGACAGGCTGACTGACTGACAGGTGTGTGTGTGTGTGTGTGTGTGTGTGTGTGTGTGTGTGTGTGTGTGTGTGTGTGTGTGTGTGTGTATGTGTATGTGTATGTGTGTGTGTGTGTGTGTGTGTGTGTGTGTGTGTGTGTGTGTGTGTGTGTGTGTGTGTGTGTGTGTGTGTGTGTGTGTGTGTGTCTGCATGTTTGTATTTTCTTGTGTGTGAACAGAAGGGAGCTTGCTTTGCCTCCAGCAAATCAATGTCCCCTCGAGGGAATGTGGAACCTGAGACAAAGAGCGAGAGAGACTGAGAGAGAAAGAAAGACAGTAAGAGAGAAAGAGCAAGCCCTGGGCAAACATTTTGCTCACTTTCCCCTCTCCAATCTCAGCTTCCAGTAAAATCTGTCTGAAAAGGTTCATAAGAAGAAATCAGTGACGATGTTTCACTATCACAGTGGGAAATTAACCCCTGCCAGCAGCTACACTACATGTTCATCAGGGTAAGAAACTTACACTTGGCTCCATTAAGTAACCTGCCAGTGTTTCCAGAGTCGAAACGGATCAAAACATGTTGAACACTGATTCCCAAATCCATGCGTCAATGTTGTGATTTGACTTCTTTATCTTAGTGTGGCTGCACTTCCCATCCAGTCTTATTTTTATGTTTACGTAGGTTACTCTGTTGCTGTGCACTTCCCCCTAAGCTCAATATATCATGTCACTGTCTCACTGTCAGTAGCACACACACTGTGAAATTGTGTGATGCGTCTACAGTGTTGGAGGCCTGAGAAATGTTTGAGCAAAAGGTTTAAGACTTAAGTGCAGACTGCTGGGTCGGTATAAAAGAGGAAACAATTAAGTCATCACTCAGGCATACCATGATTTAAATGCTGTAAATGTTACTGCATACATTTTCAGCCACACTAGCAGCATGGCTCTAGGGATGGAAATGTCAATCTGTCAGTCAGTTGATCCAGCACTTTGGTCCAGACTAAAATACTGTATCTCATTAACTACTCGATGAATTGCCTCGAAATTTGGTACAAATATTCCCGTCCCCCTCAGGATAAATAGCAGCGGCTTTGGTAAAGCACCAACACTTTAACTGGCGGCATCAAAATTTGAAGGTCTGTACTTTCAAGATTCAAGATTCAATTTATTGTCCTCCAAGGGGGAAATTCATCTCCACATCACTGCACCTGCAGACAACACCATACAGTCAACAAAGAAACACGGCATCCACAATCAACAAATCCACAAAAAACAAACAATCACATAAATAGTACATGACAGGTGGACCTTACACTCAGCGCACCCCTTTGTTTAAAGGATCAGGCTTTTTCCAAAGCGAACTCTTTTGCACCTCAACCTGCATTTAGTGCTAATTAGCAAACTAAACTAAGACACTTAGTACACTACACATCAGGATGTTAGCATTGTCATTGTGAGCTATGTTAGCTGTTAATCCAAAAGCACCACTGTGCCCAAGTACAGCCTCCAATCAGAGTCAATTCTGATTTATTGCTTAGATTTGATTTTTTTTTTTTTTGTTGTTTTGTTTTGTTTGGCTGTTCACATTATTTTTTAAATGTGGCCTTTATCAGATTCCAGTGTGAACAGGTCACGGTCCTAAATCTAGAGGACGTAAAAGTCACATGAGTTCTGATCACATTGCAGACCTGTATCTGATTTGATACAGCTCTGATTAAAAAGATCAGATTCCATATGATTTGTGCTGTTCAAACTGTCCTGGAAAAAAACAATCTGAATTACACAAGCAAAAAAAAAAAAATCGGTTTTGGGTCCCTTGTGCCTGCAGTGTGTATGTAATGTAATGTAGCCTTAGTTTTGTAGAAACTAAAAATGAATGATTATCTCAGAGAAACTCTGAGAAAAAAGGTTAGGTCATTTGAAGCTACACAGTTCAGATTTCCCCATCCATCCATTCATTAATTAATTCATTCATTAAATAATTCCCTTGCTCTGTTAAGGGCATACTACTGCACTGTCTCTCATTGGATTGAAAAGGATGAACCAGTCTCCTCATATTACACAATGCTTCAGTCCAGGCAAACTCAATCAAATAGAAGAAGAGTGATTTCAGACAAATGACATTTTAGCCTTGACCTTGTATACAGAGAGGAATAATGCAAGTGTGTGTGTGTGTGTGTGTGTGTGTGTGTGTGTGTGTGTGTGTGTGTGTGTGTGTGTGTGTGTGTGTGTGTGTGTGTGGGCGTGTGTGTGTGTCCGTAAATGTGGATATGAATGGTCCTCCACTGCTTTCAAAGACAAGTGGAAGAAGTCAATGAACAACCAATGAACTGTCGGACACAAACCTTGGCTGGGTTGAAAAGGTTGACTCCCTACTTGCATGATTCACTGACACTGTCTAGACACAGAAAATGCCTCTCAATTCAGTAAAACATTCAATGAGTGTGAGAAGCGTTATGAAACCATTCTAAAAAAAATAAAGAAGCCAAGGCTAAGTCTGACGTCTCCATGTTATAGTATAAATCCTTAAACCTCTACTTCAAAACCACTCACACAAGTTGACCTGGACTGTCTCCGCAAACAAAGATCATACCCAGTTTATTCAGGGGAATACATGGATAGACTTTACTCTGTGGGTGCGAGCAGAAATTAAATAAATTCAACCGGGGAGTAGAGAGAGGAGCACTGAAAGGTAAAGTAATAATCATCTGCTGGCTTGTCAGACACACCACAAGACGATACCACTGGTAATACAACCCCTCCATTACGCACTGCATCCATAAAACCAAATCAGCCCTATCCACAGAGCCTCTGTGTGAGTGTTTATATGCATCTTTGTGCAGATGTGTGAGCGTGTGCCCAGCAAGACCTATACTGATTCCTCAGTGCAGAGAAGAAACAAGTGGCCAAATCAAATCAGATATGGAACCGTCCTTGGCAGCGGTACTCACGCATACAAACAGAAACTCTAAGTGTTCTCTTTCGGCCGTCGGCTACTGTGAGACAGAGGAGACCAGAAAGACAGCTTGCATATTCATTCAAAGAGAACTTATTTATTTATTTACCCTCCGTCTTTCTGTGCTGGTCTCATTTCCAAGGGAGTGAAAGACATAAAACATGTTACGTATTTACAGGGAACATTCAAGATCAGCAATTCCTGGAATAGACAGTAACCCTCTCCCTTTCTCTCTGTCTCTCAAGAGGCAAACACGTGCGTAGTGTAAGGGAAAAGCTATATAGTAGATATAATGTAATGAAGATACACTGTACAGAAGACAAATGCCCTTGTGGCCCAGTGGTTAAGTGCATCAAAACAGATCCTTGAGCCATTCATATGCTCCAATTGTATGTGATTGAATCCTGTTAGACCAGCCAATACGGAGACCATGCGCTATTTTTCTCCTGTCTTTTCTATAAATGATGGTGGTTCTATTATGCCTAGCCTATATACACACAAATACACACACATCATTTTTTTTACCAATTTATCTTCATTTGATTTGTTAGAGTGCAAGAAAACTCTGCTCAAAATTTGCCCGGAAAATTACACTGACAGCACTTTTGCACATCCTCCCACACACAGTATATCAATACTAATGTACATATTTACCTCTGATTGTTTTCTTTCCCCGGAATGCGATCTCCTGATGGATCCATGGGGGATGGGAGCAGGTTGAGGCAGGAGGCGAGGGACTGACTGGAGTCTTCTCTGGATACTGTGCACACACCAGAACACACATAGACTCATTATATCAAGTTGATTTTCTAATCTTAGTAATTAACCTGACCACAACATATTTTATTCAGCCGGAATATTAATTCTCTACTTACTACACCATTCATGTCACAAAGTAGCTTATTAAGATCCAGTAGTGATAGGTGTGAGTAATGACAATACTATCCGTTGTTTAAAAAAAAAAAAAAATGAAGCCTACTTTTAAAGGCACATTTGACAGAGCAGTGAGGAAGAATGAAGGTTGGTAGTAAAGTCAAGATTTGGCATTTTCTTCATGTCTTTGTAAAGGTCTTGCAGTCTCTATCTTTTTGTCCCTGATTCCACAAGGCATGAGTCACAGTTGGAGTAGGAGCACAGAGCCCTGAAGATGATGACTGTTGGCCATAAATTGCTGTGAAACTGCTTGCTTTTTAATAAAGGCTTCAACAAGCCACCTGAGAGAGGTAGAAAATGAGTGCCAATGAGAGTGTGTGGTATGGGTGTTGTTTGTCTGTGTCTGCAGGTGCGTATACATCTTTATATGTACGTGTGCATCTATCTGGTCTGTCTTCTTTGTATATTCTGCCTGAATCTGTGTGTGTGTGTGTGTATTTAAATTCATCCCTTTAATTTGAGTGTGTGGAAGAACCAGCACAAAGTCTTAGTCCCTTGACTTTATGAGAACAATTCATCAAACCTTTAATTTCATGCTACAGTCTGCAAACCATTAGGTCTAATGACTAAGCATGCACACTTGTGTGTTAGTGTGTGTATTAATGATGGTGCCTCCTTTAGCTCTGCGTCAGCCCTAGCCGTTAGAGAGGTTTTAAATCTGTGTGTGTGTGTGTGTGTGTGTGTGTATGTGTGCGTGCGTGCGTGCGTGCGTGCGTGCGAGCGTGCGTGCGTGTGAGCGTTCAGTTCAAACCCACCCGCCTTCCAAAAACTCTCCAACCCCCATAAGCACAGGAAATTCAGTTTATTAGGGCTGGAGCTCCTGTTGTAGTCTTTACTCCACAGTGCTTCTGAGCATTTTACTTTATTTGACTGCAAAAGTAATATTCTGCAAGTCTATCTGGGACTTAAATTTTGCCTCGAGATGGATGAATCTCACCTTGAATACATATATAATTTGAATTTGAGATCTTTTAGGTAAGAGCCGAAGCTAGACACACTCACATACATGATGAGAGTTAAGCTGAGGGTAAATGTACCCTGTCACTGTATTTAGAGTCAAACTTGTAGCCCCTGTATGAGTAACCAGTAAAGCACAAAAATGGATACTGATCACATTTCAAGCTCATATTACCCAGTTGAGTCATTTTATTCATGTGTCATACTCAGCCACCAACTGTGCAAGTCGATGTGTACATATTTGCAGTTTGTCGTGTACTAAAGGACCAGTGTGTAGCATTTAGTGGCAACTAGCAGTGAAGTTGCAGACTGCAACTAACTGAACACCGCGTCTGTATGTGACCTGGGAATGATAACGGGCTACGAAGTATGTGGGAGAAACTACAGTGGCTGCAAAGGTTGCGAAAAACATTAAAGGCCCTATCTACAGCCAATGTTTGGTTTATCCCATCTGGGGGACTGTAGAAACAAAGTGGTTCGACATGGCTAGTGCTGGGTATTGTATAATTTTCACATTATACATTACATACAATTACTCACTTCAAAGAGTGAAGCTGTTCAAAGACTTGGGAGCAGCTGGAGAAACTGTTATGTTTTTTTACTCTGCGTACTTTGTTCAGCCTGGATCACTGTGCTAAAATAAAAAAATGAATATCTGTACAGTACTGGACTATATAAAAACAATAAATAACTGTCAAAAATACATTCATAACAAATAGTATGGCAGCAATATATCTAGTCCAACCCAAAGACGCGCCGGTTTCCATCCCAGTATACAATGAGGTAAACGGACTCACAGATGAGCAGATAGAGGTTAGCTGCACAAACTTCACCTAGTTGTCTGTGAATATGAGCAACCGTAACAGCCTATTGCATGCTGCATGGGCGCTCTGATGCTGATTCATTTTTATACAGTTTATTACCTAAATTGAGTAATGAATGACAAGACCTTTCGATAATCGGAAGTATTGACTAAATTCAATCAGTGCCATAATGGTCGACGACAGTGACCTGTGGTGTCTGCAGATAAAAACAGCTCATTGTAAGGAAAAGAAAACAACGATTCCTATATTCAGGTGATTATTCACTAATGAAAAACATACCTATGAATGTTATATTACATTCCTGTCAATAGACCTTTACAGTGTATTATTTAATACAAAGCAAACATATGCAATCTGAAATCACCAAAAACATAATCAATACTGACAGTATTTGCAAGAGCATGCAATTTTTCCCCAATTACCATAATGTTCCTGCAAGGAATGATTAAATAAGAATAGTGCTTGCAAATGCAATCAATCACTTCGCTTCAGTACATCTACTCACAACAAAAATAAAATAGTAAAATAGTAAATACCTTCTTCATGAACATGTTAAGAACTAACAAATGAATGAAGATTTTATTAGGTCCACGTTCGGTGTGGCCTTCATTTATTTAATATAAAGATTTCCTCACATTAAAAGGAGGTTGAGGTTACTGTGTTTGGCACTCCATGCTGCACTGTGGCAGAGCACAAGCAATAATTCTCCTCTGACAGTCACTTTTCAACCATGAGGCATGTCAGGAGGAGTGTCACTGAAATGCCAAAACAACAACGGAGATAAATCGCTGTAAATGAGGCAGCAACATCAAAGTCGTGGCACATGTTAAAAGAAACAGCCAGAGTACTGGTTTCATGTTTTAAGGTGATGGAATAGAGGTGGCTTAATGAGGAAAAAGAGAGTGAAGAGAAAAACAGAGAGAGAGAAAGACAGCAAACAGAGGAAACAAAGAAAGAAGGAAAAAAGAATGACACAAAAAATGAGCAGACATCCACTTGAATAGAAGGAGGGATAGATAAAAGGCAAGTTTGTATGTGACAGATTCCCTCTTGATTTGAATGCTGAGTTTCTAAGAATGCTTAACTTCTTTCTAGAGAAACAGCAACACAATGAATGGGAGGAAATAAAAAAATCTATGTCTGTGTATCATCTGTATCTTCCCATGCCCTGTCCTCCACCCACACACTTGCCATAAAGACTTCAGGTGTTCTGAAGTGAAAAAGTTACCGTGTCGATGTCGCTGATCGTCAGAGAGGTCCAGGTCTAACATAAGATCATCTTCATCCAGTTCTGAGGAACCCAGGTTGTTTAAAACATCCTGAAGAAAAAAAAGCAAAACCCCAAAACTTAAATCAATATACATCTGACAAAATAATAATGAATAATTATAATGTTCTGTTCTGTATTCCTAATAGAGAAAAATACTTTTGGAATAAAACTTTTGGTCCAAACATGTCATTATGATGAACAGTTTTAATACGACACTCATTAATATCCAACAGGTTCAACAAAAACAGAGGAAAAGAAACATAAAATACTAATTAAAAATAGAGATAAGATAATTTGGAAGATTTTAATTTAAATAAATGTCTGCTAAGTCACCATCTATCTCCAAATGAGGTAACAAAATGGTCATTGAGCCTATAAGTACTGCAATATTTATATATTTGCAGAATTACAAACTGTGAGTCTGTGGCAACATTCCTGCATAAAACGCTGTGCTAAATTACTGCTGATGCAAACCGAACATTTCATACTGCTGCAGCTTCACATTAAAAGCATTTAACTAGTGAAACACCAGTTGACTCTTATTATTAAGTAGTCACAGGGAATGCAATGTGTCAGCGACATTAGCACAGGCCGCTATCATTCATCAAAAATGCATCTACAAAACAAAACGGTCATTTTTTGACAGCATATCAGTTTGAAATATTGCAAAGAGTAATGGAACAAGAAGGAGCAGCCACAATGAGCAGTAAGGTGAAGAGCTATAGGCGACAGGCAGCACACCTCCAACTTCTCAGCCTAATAACCATCTCCTTTCACTGTGCCCTGCTGTTCGCAGACTCATGCCGCGTGCAGCACGCAATCAGATCTCAATTGCTCACAGAATGATCTATAAAGGCCAATTATTGCCTGACTTCTTTATTAAAATGACAATAGTTTGTTTCGCTGCCACCAGAATTCTGGGACCTGTAGTTGAGCAATCAACCCCACTCGCTGTTAGGCCTACCACCAGTAACCAGTAACTTTAAGACGTGACAACATTAAAGCAAATCATTAAACGATTTTCATCAAAGCAGTCCAGGTGGTTCATGACATTCAGAAAGAGATATCCCAACCAGAAAGATTGTATCAACATTAGCAATAATATCAATGTTATTTTAGTTATTTGGTAGGGTATTAGCATGTTATTAGGTAATGGTTTTTTTTTTCACTTTGCCTGCACTTAATGAGGTCTTTAGTCCCTCATCAGTGCATCCAAGCTCATGAAAACATACCGCTACTCCTGTTATGTGGGGATCATTAGGGTTTGGTTTGAAAAAGCAATGAATGTGCTAAATGAGGCTGTAGTTTTAGGTAACATCTGTCAACGTTTCCTGTGCTTCACCAGCATAAATACCTGCTGAACAAGAAAAACTTTGCAAATCTAGAGTATTTTCACTCTTTTCTCTCAATGGGAAAGACAAGAAGCCCAGTACTTAGTCATGTGACTTTCAAAGCTCTTATTAAAATATACTGTCTTTTTAATCAACAGTACCTTACAGAACAGGGTTTTCTTTGCCATAATGAAACAGTAGAAAGAAACCAGAAAATGTTATGTGTACAGTAAACATAGAAAGGTATATTTTATATTCCAGGTATTTACTTACAAATGTTATATAATAATTGTAAAATAACTACATTTAACATGATGTAAACAAAAATGATTTTGTGTAAATACCCCTAAACCACAATTAAGTTTGGTGTTGGAGTACTAAGTTATGAGAAAACCCAGTGCCACATAAATCCCCAGTGGGCCTCATATCAAACCCAGAGGTATCTCACCTGTGTACCCCTGCCTTTATCTACCTCCCACCTTTCAGACTGCATGAAATATAAACCAATGAGTGTACCGCTCTAAAACACCTGTTAAACAAAAAGAATGTACAAATATATGTTTAAATAAACATTAGAGCCAATGTTCTCCAAAATACATACAATAATTCAAGCATAATAATTCATGTTTTACAAATCCTCCCTCCACCCTGGGTGGCTCTGAATTATCAGCAGTATCTCTGCCCACACTATAGTGTCAATATTTCTTGAGAAGTACTTCATTTTAAGAAATTACTGATACAATTTTCCCACCCCCTTATCCACATGACTATTGGGAGTCATGTTTCATCACTTAATACCCACCACAAAATCTTCATTTGTAATCTTTCAGTAAATGCTCCCATGATCTTGGTATTATTACGAGGTTATAATGATGCATGATGCTCCCTTTGGTTCAATTGCATTTCAAAAGCCAATGCTGCCACCTGATGGTCATCAAAGGGAAATCTACTGCATTAAAAAAAGTTTTAGCTAAAACAATAAAGAAGGGCAAATAAATGGATAAAAACATTACATAGCCTTACATAAGAAAGAGTATAATTATTGTAGCAATATATAAATACTAGCTAAAATGGACTAAATTGGTTAAAACATGAATGTGCATATCCCTCAAAAATACTCAACTCAACTCAACTATCAACACGTGCTTCACTACCATGCGTTCACAGTCAGCAGGCTTCTTTCCAATTACTTTGGACCCAAAAGGACATGGCAACACTACAGTCAAATAATATTTACAGATAGTATACCATGTACGTACACTATAAGACCTAAGGAATACTGGTAAGCAACACAAAGTTGTTGTTTTTAGTACTCATGCAGTAAACTGAATTATCCTGATGCAGCAAATCTCAGCAGTATGATAAGCCCACAAGACCAAAAGGGCTAATTATTCATTATTAATAGTGCTTTGACCTGATCTGTATACACTTATTACATGAAACAACCTTTTAGACAAGGATTTTGAAAATGAAATGAGTGGTTGATACCTACTACAGGCTTTCAGAGCACTTAATAATGGTTGAAAGACTTAACCTGAGTCTGAACTTTTGTGCATTTAGAAAATGAAAGGCTTTAACCAACGTGAAATATCAAGAGCCATAAACTACTATGCACCATTCTCATTGAGTGTCTGCAGATGCAGATGGATCTGAAAATCCAATAACCAACTCTGTTCTGCTCTCATCATTGTTGTTTGGACATAAACAACTTCACAGCCACACTCCGTATTGATCTCCTCCCATCTAAGTACAAGAGCCTCAATGCTTAGTGACATGCCTAACTATTCAACCACACCTCTGCGTGTGTGTGTGTGTGAGAGAGAGTGTGTGAGTGAGAGTGTGTGTGTGTGTGTGTGTGTGTGTGTGTGTGTGTGTGTGTGTGTGTGTGTGTGTGTGAGAGAGGAGTGAGTGAGTGAGTGAGTGAGTGAGAGAGAGAGAGAGAGATTTTTCCAAACAGCTAAATCAATTTCCCTATGGCCATACCTATGTGAAGCCATTGTGGTCTGTGACGATGTATATTACTGTTTTTTCACCAGATACTCAGTGCAGTAAACATCAGAAAAAAGACCAGAATGCATTTCAGTGTAATGCAATTGAACAGAAGACCTCATTTCAGGCATTAAAGCTAATAGCTAAAAGGTATTGGAAAAGAAATGAAGACCCATACCGTGTGATACTACTGCACACAGACTTCATTTGAAGCTAAATTACCCATTTTAATGTGCCCCTCTAACCACAGAAATGTGTTAATATGATTTTATAACCCAGAGATGTCACCTTTTTACCTCGCTTGTGTGATTTGAGTGAGTATAATCCTTGAGTTAATAGAGATAATATCAGATTCGGGTCTCATTAAAAGATGGCTCCATCTCTTAACTGCCAAGCAGAATGACATCCAAAACAGGGATAAGAGGAAGCAAGAGGTTCTTTCCATCCATCAAAATCCACTGGTTTCTGTTCACATACAGTCTGTGAAAATTACATTTATGCAGTGCTTTAGGGTGGTAAATGCATTAAGATCAAGGGAGAGAGATCTGGCTTTGCACCCTGGTAATATGGCTTCTAGCGATAGGAAATATACCGACTAACAAATTACTTTCATTCTGTCTGAGCAGACACTTCACAGCCAGTTGTGTTTACAATGTGCCTGAGGGGATAAAGGTTTGAATGTCCAGTCAAATTGTAAATCTGTTTGTTGAATGAAAAGAAATTGACTTTAACTCACACTGTCTCACTGATGTTTGTTATTTTTCAACAACTCTTACCAGTACGGAATAATCACTCATCCCAGTGCAAAGCAAACATCAGTTTTACATTGAATAAGCAAGAGCGTTTAAAATTTAAGAGAGAGAAATGCTAAATCCCAGTGCTTTATACTGTTGACTTTGTTAGCATCAGAATCCATATTTTCACCGTGGCCATAAATTTGCGGTGCATATTTTAATTCAGGATTCCTACCATGTGTTGTAAAGACTTTATGAGAATATGTTGTGACCGATGCTGCTGAGGCAGAAAATATGACTACAGTCATAACTTAGAGTGAAATATCTACATTTCCTATTTCTGCAATATGTGGTCTTGACGTGAAAAAGGGTTTCTAGAAGATTAAGTACTTAACAAGGACATATTGGAAGGCATCTGCACGTCTATTTACCTTTTTTTACAGCAGACATTTTGGCATGTCATAACAGGAAAAGAACAGGTGTAATTAATAAGATGAAAAACAACAAAAAATGCTCCCCATTTATTTCTAAGCAGAACAGGATGAGGCCTTTTTACCTCCGGTTGCAAATTAACTAGCGTCTTTAGCTTCCTGCAGTGTCAAATTTGATTGAACTTTGACTCGCAGAAGTTTTAGCTTGTCCAGTATCAAGCCAGTTGACCTCTCATTCGGGAATTATTGTTTGTTTATACTCTTGATTTATAACTACACAGAGAAATAACTCTGCAGCGGAGAAGGGGGAGTGAGTGCAAGGACAGTGACAGAAATTAAAGATGAGCGTTTAATAAGAAGCTGTATAATTTATGACGTTTTAGAGTCCTGTTGTTCGCCCCCTACCCAGGCTTCCTCAGTTTATGCCTATAACCCTGCCCATGCTATTTCCTGTCCTGCCTGCCTTTTGTTAAACCACGCAAGTAAATTTTGCCTGGCCGAATGCGACCTGAAAGCACCTTCACTCTTCCGTTGGGCACACCATCATTTGTTATTTGTTACGCCTGTGCCTTTTCTGCAATAACCAGTCAAAATATCTACCATGAAAAGGTTATATAGTTTCTAAGGGTGGTCACAAAAGGTGGTATGTAGAAGTAGATCGTAAAGGTAAATAATAAATATTGAGTATTTTTAGCAAATATAGCCTTACATATACTAGAACAAGGTACTAGACTTTACCAGCTTACAATTAAATTTGAAGAATTTCTAGCCAGCTGGCTTATGAGCTCACTCTTGATCATTTTAAAATAAGAGAGAGAAAAAATACACTGAATACTTGAATGCACCAACATAACCAAAGGGCTATTAAAGGGATCGACTTTGAGCTCTTTAGCCACATTTATGTGGATGAAAATAGTTTCAGAGAATTAAAAGAAACATTCTTAAATCTCGTTTCTATAGCAGAGGTAGTCAATTCAAATCCTTCAGGGTTGAAGTCCTGCCTGCTCTTGCTCCTCTCAGATAGCTAATGAGCGCCTAATTGACTATCAACTCCATTTTTCCAGGTACATTTACTATCGTATTAGCCTCTGCACTGTTCAAATGAACACACTTAGAATATGAACATGAAATTAACTTGACATAATCAGCATGATATATTAAACAGTTAGACAATACGGGCATTTACCTATTGAATACAACATTAGGAGCCATTTTTAGTATTCACATAGTAATACTACTACTAGTTCAGTTTGTTTTACAGAAGTTTTGGCTCATCTAGCTATTGGTGCCAATAACTATGAATGGTTATGTATTAGTCATGAGATAAATAAGGATTTGTTTCATCGACCACTGCTTTCAGAGCTCTACTGCTTGGCATTAAGAAACCTAGCCTCACACAAAATTATTTAATTTGAACTTTGATTTGGTTTTATGTGTGTATGATAATGGGTTACTGCTTTTATATGATGTCTTTGGGTCAAGTGAGCATTCAATATATATACTAAAAAAACATCTTCATTGGTTTTCATTTATAAAAAAAAAAAAAACCCAGCTGTCTGGTTGTGGTTATTACAAATTCTGTCTGGGAGAGGAAGTGAATCCTTATCTGTTGTATGATTAATACAAGTGTCACTTATGATATCTAGCCTTTACAAGGCAGTAATCAGACTGGAGGATATGAAAACAAGAGGCACCGTGCATTACAACACCGTCTGTTGACATGCATAAGTAACAGTCAAAGTGGATTGCAGTTGAACTATTGTGCTATATATGCCAATCAAACTACAAACAAAAGTGCATGTTCAAAGTTGTTCAGCTTGTCTCAGTGATTACACAGAATTCCAGCTGACAAAAAAAAAAACTTAATAAGACGTTCTCAAGAAATTCTCTCTTATCTCAGTCAGCCTGCCTCAATATTATCACAGCTGTCATTGAGAAACTCATGAGCAACCAAAACTGTATATGCTGGTAAAATAAATATCTTACAGAGTGGGATTTCAAAATAACAATAACAACTGGAATGAGATCACCAAACGGCTCAAGCAAACACGGCCCGGCTTCGCTTCACAGAGGTACCTCACAGTTTATCTCTGTGAATTCAACAAATTAGTCATTTGCCACCGCAAACAAAATCTTTATTTGCTTTATGATAATTATATTCTGTCTGGCTGTAATGACACAACAACAATACTGTTGATGTGCTGTAGTCTGTCTCTGTTTTGCCCTGCACAGGTGCCACGTCCCACAGGCCTCCTTAACACATAAACACCAGTCAGCCATGTTGTATATGCATAAACAATGAGCAGATCATTCTATTCCTTTTGTTCGTACCCTCACTAGCTTTAGTTATGTATTTACTTAGAAGACGTTACTGTTAGCAGACTGTGGTATTGCTCAACACACTCCCATTATCTCCCATTATCTGGATTAAGACGTGTGAGCATTTGCTCACACGTCTTAATCCAGACCTTTCACAAGTGTCTTCGCTAACCAAAAAGTTTTATAAGGCTGAAAGAAAGAGGAGAAGTGGTAGTGCATAATTTAATACACACTCCAAGGCTCAGCATTTTTTTTTTTACATGACTTGGACCCCTGAAGGGCTCTTCATAGGCTTGAAGAAGGAAAAGAAGAGATTACTCCATGTTTGGTGAAGTGTGTGTCAAGAAGCAGATGCAGACTTGAGTAAAGTACATAGCAACGTGCTGTGTATATCCCTGCCCTTTTTAATCTCTTAGTAAAAGCCTATAGTCCCTGGTAAAATAAATGGGATTGGCTCAAACTAGCTTTCCTCCCACAGAACCTCCTTGTGTGTGTTGTAAGAAAAACAGCCCAATAACAATAGTAGCTACAGTCTTTCCCCAGAAACAAATGTGGATATAGCTACAGCATGCATCAACAAAGACGGGTGCAATGTTTGTTAGACAGCAAAGCTAACAAACAGCATATAATGCTTAAATCCTACAGATGACTGAAGAAGTTTTCCAAAGTACTTTGAAACTCAGGGCTTTGCCTTAAATAGCTTCAAATGTAAGAAATCCGAGGCTTCACTGTGTTTTTCAAATTCATGTGTACACACAAACAGTATGACTTATTTAAATATTCTTATGCTTAACTTGAGCTGTTGAATATCTGTACTGAGTGACACCAGTGAAACATTAAGACCTGAGGTGTCACTTTGTCATGGCCAAGTCAATACAGCACTGTTGATCACAATGTGTGACATTTCTCACTTAGCTCTCTTTCTTTACATTTCATTAAATAACTTAAACATCACAAAATGAGTTTAAGATACGTTTCTGAGATGATACTAAATTATTAAATTGTGTCCTAGCTCTGAATGTAACCAGGCACAAGTATTTTCAAAATAAAACCTTCTAGCGAAATACGTGGAAATATTTCTAATTTATTTAAGTTGTGTGAAAATTAAAGGCACTATGGTCAGTTTATGCATGCTGGAACACTTTTGGTATTTTCATGGCCAGAGGCATGGGTACTGGATGAGACTATGAAGGATCTCTTATCATACAGTATATTATAAGGGAGTGTGTGTTAGCAGCTGGTTACAATTGTGGCCAATTACATCCGCTCTTTTCATCCCCCTTAAAAGCAGCGCTCTTCCTGTAAGGACGCAATTTGGTAATCCAGTGGAGAGTTTTCCTGAGGAAACCATTATTATTATTGTCCTGGATGTGCTAAATTTGAGTACACAGCAACACAAAGAAGCTGATGGTGTCTCTTTTTAAGTTGGATTAAAGCTTGCGGACATAATAAATGTGTGTGTGTGATTTTACACACCTTACTTCATAGCACACACTGCTCAGTACCACATGTATAAACTCTTAAAAGGCATCATTCTAGTTATGTATGTCTAGTAGTAATGAACAATGTGGTATGAACAATATTTGAGATTAATTAAATAACTAATGAAAACAGTTTAATTAAAACAGATTAATTTTCTCTACTGTACTTTTATTTCCTTTATTAAAGTTTAACTTGATTAAATCCCCATAACTGTGCAGCAGTGTATCCCCTGGTGGTCCTTTTTGCCTATTTTTCATTTAATTTTTCTTTTCTAACTGATTTTACACTCATCTTTATCAAGTTTTTAATGTTGCTCTATTGTAATTATCTGCCCTATGTAAAGTACTTTCACTTTAGAAAATGTTCCATATAAATAAACTTACTTACTGTAAGGATGTACAGAAGAGGAAGTGGCACGTACTACGTTTTTTTTCCTTTTGCTTATTGCATGTGCCTGGATGAAATTATGCTTTACCTAAACATCTTAACTACAATGTAATCTGTTACACACACACACACACAGACTACACTGTAAATTTCATACACACACTAACAGTGTTTGCTAGGTAATATGATGATAACTGAACACCTAAAATATGTAAAACAAACCATAGTTATACGATTAACTTCAAAAGCACACAAAAGAGTATTCATGATATGATCTAGGGGCTTTAACTTTAACTAATAAAATCACACACAGAGCTCCAGACCTACCAGACTCCCCATTTTGGATGATGAAGAGTTGTTTCTGTGTTTAAGCAAACCGCATCCCTCCATGCCAGGGGCATCTCTGTGGTTTCCATGGATACGAGGCCCACCAGCCCCCTCAGACGAGGAGCGCAGACGCCTTTCCATCCGCATCACCTCATGATAGGGGCTGACACTGCTACACAGAGACGCTGGAGGAAAGAAAGAGGTGAAGAGAGTCAGAGAGACAGAGAGAAAGAAGGAATGAATTAACAGTGATTCCACAAGCAGAGGCATAATCATCAATTTATTACGTTTGAAATTGGTAGCAGTCAGCCCTGTTTTTTTTCATTAAACCTAATGACATTATTTAGCATTTTAAATGAAGTTACATTTTCCTGTTGTAAAGCTCTTCAACCATATTGCTTTTGGTCAAATTATATTTATGCCTGTTTTTTAATAATCAATATTGGTCTGAGTATCACCAAGCTTGCTGTATAATAATACAACTACAGAATCAGTGAGATTTTAGGGGCAATATTTACAGACAATCTCATGTCCTGTCATTGAGCAACAGGTTATAAATATCTGTTAAAAACAGTGCTTCATGTCAACCACTTCCTCTCTTCCTCTCTCTCACATACACTTGCACACACAAAGCAGAGGCTAGTGACACTGTGCAATGCAAAAACAAATATATAAAAATTCTGTTGTTGCGGAGTCCAACAGACAAGCTCACCCTGTTATCACTGTAGTCGGTCTGTAGTTCCCACTGCCTGGAAGCTAGTTATTCAGCAAGTGTAAATCAATATTCAGCTACTTTCCTGTCAGCATGTATTGCAACATACTGTGTGTGTGTGTGTGTGTGTGTGTGTGTGTGCGTGCGTGCGTGCGTGCGTGCGTGCGTGCGTGCGTGCGTGCGTGCGTGCGTGCGTGCGTGCATGTGTGTTCACAATCCTACAATAGCGCAGCAAAGCTGGCAGATGATCCTACAATCATGCCAACTTTAAAATGCACAACAGCGCACACGAGTCACAGTTACAGTTCCTTCCAGAGTTTCTAATACAGTAGAAAGCTGAGATTTCAACTATAAATTGATATGTAAGTGCGAGCAACTATAACTCATATACTTTCTATAGCAGTATTTGTGCTGGAACGTGTATAAATCTCTGCATGCGCAAATCAAATTGGAATCATTATTTTGTTGAACAGTTTGACTATGATAGTGCTCAGCTGCAAGCACAGCATTAATATATAATATTCTCAATTACAGAGTTCGTTAGTCCTAGAGAAACCCTACATTTGCAACCCTTATGAGATCGAATGTTCTATTTCTTTTCCTGAGAGGGTTTTTGCAGTGTCTGCTCAAAGTCTGCCATGAGGTAAATAATTGTTGGAAAACACAGTGATGGGCTTTAGACTAACGGAGTTTTTTTTTGCCAGAGAAGCCTTGGCTGAAAAAAAAAAACCTGCTCTGCAATATGTTACAGCAGCTTAGGAAGAAGTGAGGAGAATAGTAACAAATCAGCTTTGGTCAAGGATTACATTTTCAGTATGACATACACTGTCAACCCACAACTGGCACTGATTTATTAGACTCAGTAGATCAACTGTCTGAGTTATGCTACTAGAGGGAGTGACAGCTTCAAGAGTTCAGCTGCTGTCAAATGTCTCGTATAGTATTTGTACTGTTTGGAAACATTCTCAACTTTTAGCAAAACTTTGAATTACCAACGAATTTGAAAGCTGAGAAAACCTCTAGTAGGTTTCACCAAGAGGAAACTGAGCTGAGTGAGACATGAGTATAGTAATACTTTTATTCTGATTAGACCATTTTGCCGCACCTCCACTTACCGGTTTCATGTGGGAATTTCTTTGAGAGGCTTGGTAATGAACTCTCAAATATTTTCATTTGCTATGTCGTTCACATTTGATCACTTGTTCGGTCATGCATAAGGAAGTAATAAACCCAACACTAATGGGGCATGAGCATGGCATCACTTCAACCACTTAATAAATGTTTACAGTCAAACTCCTTTTGGTAGAAATTATTGCGAATGTTTGCCATGAATTGTGGTCATATTATATTTACAAATGAACATCACCAAAGTTAAAACACTGTAAACAGTGGTTTTACCGTCATATTGATGTCTTATATATTTATCATTTTATTTACTTTATAACATTAGATATAACCCTCAGGGGAAAACAAACCACATATCCTCTGTGGAATCACAAAATATAATGAATTATTATGGTAAATGTACAGCATATGTGTCATACTAGCAAGCAAACTTTACTGTATATGCCCGCATACATCGTCACTGCATAGCAAGAAGTCAGTGCTGTTTTTGTTTGTCTGTTTTTCTGTTGCTGCCTTTGAGATAACAAACTGGTCAAAAATCTTTTGTAGCCCTCATTACAAAAGAATGTCAAACAAGTATGGAAGCCAAGTTTGTGTCTGTCTGCGTGTTATGATGAGGGATCAACCGGGGCCTCTAAATACCATTGTGCAGTAGTGTATGATATTTGTGTGTGTGTGCAAATCTGTGATTTACATGAGTTCATACCTGCATGTGGTTTTCGCAAGTGAGAGGACCTGGGTTCGTGGCGGCCACAGAAGCTTCCTCTTTCTTGAAAAGACAGTGTGTGTCTTGCCCTCCTTTCCGATTGCTCTGGGTTAGAGTGACAACCCTCACTGCGCACCACACATGCCTCACTCTCACTTGTGGTCTCCGTGTGGTAACCTGCTTTCCTCTCCTCCACCAACTCCTTCCTCTGCTCTGCTGACTCGTCCTCCCTCGCTTCCCTTCTCTCCTCCTCCCTCTCCTTCCTCTCTTCCAGTGATTGTTCTTGAAGAGGTAGGCAGGGCACAGCTGTCTCAGGCTCTGAGAGGGAAATGGCAGTCTCATAGTCTGTGTTGTTGGCTGTGCTGGTGTCAGGGAGTAAAGGTTTTTCAGCACTGGACTGGGCTGGAGTAAAGAAAACCTAAGGAAAGGGTGATGTGTAAAAATGTAATTTAAAACAGCATTTTTAAAATGTTATATTCAAATACAAGACACAACTTTGAGCTCCAATGAGGCAAAAAGCAGTTTACAGAGAGGAGAGGCCACTTTAGCACTCATTTAGTAGGTGGATATTTGTGTCCTCAGGCAGCAGTGCACATTTTTATATAACACAGTCATACAGTATTTACTCTTCAATGGCCTAAGCACAGAGCTTTGTCTCTGCTACAGCTATTCTTCCTAGGGGCTCCCTCCTCAACCAGGAAATAAAACAGATTAAAATCTTTGAAGGAGGAAGAGTTGTCAGCACAAAGGTGCAAAATATGGAGGGGAGTTAGCAGACATGCGTAGGTTTTTCTTTTTCATGCTTTAGCTATTTCAATAAAAAGGTCTTTTCATGCCCGGTGCTCAATTTTTATGCCACATTTCACAGATTCCACTCAGTGGTCATAAATATTCCTCCTTTGTTTTTGTTCTTGACATCCAGGGGCACCTGTGGTTGCATTGTCTGTTCCTGACGCACTAATATCGCCATCTTTTTACAAATAAGTTCCTGTTTGTACAAACAAAAAGATTTATGGTTCAGATAATATAGCACGTTTGATGTTGCATTATGGTCAAAAGAAGTAAAGAGCGTAAAACAAGCTACCTGGGAGGTAGAGACAGCTACACTGAAGTTCTCTGGAGCAGGTAGGGGGTCAGGTGGAGCTGTGTCAGTAGCCAGTCCAGGTACAGAGGCAGGTCCTGGGCCTAAACCAGATCCGGGGCTGGGAGCTGGCAGAGCATCCACCTCGGATACAGAATCCTCCGTGATGGGGATGAACTCTGAAGGGGTGACTGCTGTGGTTCGGTCCTCCGATATTATAGGGGATTGGAGTGAGCTCTCACCACCGGCACCAAGCAGCTCGCCTGGCAATGAGCCTGGGGTGAGCCCTCCTGTCCCTGGAGTGATGGTGGTAGAGCTTGGAGGTTCGAGATTCACTTCTGGAGGCCTGTGGTGATCGGAGGTCTTGGAGAAGCGGTGGTGAGCAGAGAAAGATTTGGGCAGTAGCTGTTTCTTCTGCCGTGACGACCGCTTGTTGTTATTACTGCCACCGCTGTAGTCATCGAGGAACCCGGAGTCGTCGCCCTCATTGGCCCCCGAGCCGCTGATGCAGTTTATAAACACATTTCGATTGGCTGTGGAAGAGGACGAGGATGCTTTCTCAAAATCCTCGGTCTGAGAGCGTGTGATTTTCTTCTTGTGGCTGCCGAACCCAAACGAGTGACGTGACTTGGGGCGTCCACCCCCCTCACTGAAACCTGTTGACAATGACGTTGTTATCGTCTGCTGGTTATTCCCATTTGTATCGGTGGCCTGTGTCAGTGGAGGTGTGAGGTTCAGGTTTATAGGCTGGACACGTGGTTCACTATTCCGTTTAGCTGTGAAACTGAGAGATGGAGTGCGGAAAAGGCTCCGGCGTTTCCCGGTGCTGCCGGAGCTGGAGTTAGTGCTGGAGGGCGAAGAGCTGTGGACGCCGTTCCCCACCCCGCCTGAAGACGGAGAGGAGGGGAGAGACTCCTGCCTCTTACTGCTGCTGCGGCGGAAGATCGGCAGGCGGGAAACAAGCGTGGAACGGCGTGAGCCTGATTCACCCATCTAGACGCTGAGGCAGAGGGGAACAAACAAAAAACATTTAATGTTTATAACATGCATCAGCATAGATTCACCTTCAGTCAAAAGATTACATTTTTACTGTTATATTGATTATTATTGAGCGCCTCAATAATTGTGACATTCACAACTCTGAACATGCAATATGTTCTCTAGTGTGGCAGGTAAGAAATCCCAAATAACAAAGCGATAGTTCACATTTATTAACCTTCTAAGCAAATACTGGACCCATACACAACCACATGGAGGAGCACATAGTATTTTCAAAACAAGCGAGCTTGAGTGTACAGACAAAGTGAAGTGAGAAATCTCACATTAAGTAATCACATTTCCCACGCTGAATGAGTCAAAACAAGTTATTGCTGCATCTTTAGCTTGCAGATGCCTCTGTTGCAGGGTGTTATATGTGTTAGTTTTTTGCTCCTAAGGCATCAGGAATACATGTGTAAACGAAAACAGCGTTGTTTACCCCATTGCTGTTAGACTATCTCCCTGTGAAGTTTCTAGTAAAAATATTTCAAAATACAACTGCCCAAAAAAGGGTATAATATCCAGTCTGAAAATACCCAGCATACTAAAGATGCCTAACTGAGGTGCAGCACGTCCGTACAAGAACAAACACAGGACTAATGCTATCACAAGGATGTCAAAGGTCATGGAAAAATTTTATTTTTTATTTTTTATTCAGTTAACTAGTATTTTCAACCCTAAGCCTCCGTGCCATCTGATATATTCCACTAAACAAACGGACATCACAGAGCACAACATTATCTGTCCCAAAACACTATATGTAGTCTGGGAAACAGAGCATATGCCCCAAAGATCACATGTTCCTAGTTCTAGTTCAGGTATGAGACCTCTCTTTAACATGCCCCATACAACAATTAACATTTATCCGACAGCAGAATCTTGAAGAGACAGGACCAACCCGCAGGGAGAGCATATAAAGCGCTGAATCTGATACGGACCTATTTTATTTTATTTTACTTATGCATTGCTTAATTCATTTAAAGATTATTATCTCAGACAGAAAATCCACGATAGAGGAGAATCTTGGACAAAGAAGAGTCACTAATAAAAATTAAGCCGAGCCTCAACTATCAGGCCTGTAGCTTTAGGAATTTCAACTGTATACCTTCTCAATGGCACTGTCTGTCTTTGAGGGTAAAAACTGAGAGTGCCGGGCAACAAGACTGTGCCTCATTTAATCTTCATTTACAAAATGCTTTCTACAGTTTTTTCAATTAGCAAACCTCTTAGTAAACACATTGCAAGCACGACTATTGTCTTACTGCTTGTAAGAACTATCCAAAGTTCCATGCGTTGCGTCGCAGATTAAACGGAGGCATTCATTTCGGTAAATACTCACGCTTTCATTGTTTTCTGCTATTAATTAGCCAAACAGTGATTATGAGGTCCTCGTAATGTTGAAGAAGCTGCCTCCGTGAGAGCTACTGAAGTGTTTTGTTTTCGATCTCTGTGTAATAAGCTTACATTAACACCCTTTACTGGCTTACGAGTGTGTCACCTCCTTGAAAGTAAATTTGATCAAGTTCTAAATACACAGTGAGTGATGCAGTTCCTATTTTCATACCATGTTACCTGACTGCAATATTTTAAAAGGGCGCATTAATAGCCGATAACATTTACAATAATGACATAGCAATCAATTAAATGATATGCACACACACATAACAAAATGCTGCTATGCTTTGCTCTGTCTTTCCTGGATTACTTCAAGCTGTCCGTGCAAGTCAAAACACACGATGCAGGTTAGCAGCCTTTTCAACGCGTTTGAGATTCCTTTTTTCGGATGAGCCGGCAGTTCATTGGTGTTTCTTCTCACCACCACCACACAGCCATCTGACCAGGTCATGGCACTCTGACCTGGCTCATTAATACAAGGTAAGACATCCAAGTAATTAGAGAGAGAGATTAAAACAGATTGAGAACACCTGTGTTATTTACCCTACCAATCAGGGGTAATAAGAAGACTCTGTATGAGGCCTTGTGAGTAGTAAAATGTACACCCACACACGTTGCTTTAACTGACCAACTGCTAATGGACATGCGTACAATTGCATTTGGCGTTATGGTACTGTACATAATGGCTGTAACACATCAGTAGCATAAACTGCGGGCTACCTCACATGAAGTCTGTACACAAAGAGGTAAAAGAGAAGTAGTGCTGGACTGAAGCGAGTTCTTACTTCCTCAGATTACCTGTATTAGAGAAGCAAAACTCCACCTGATCTCGGTTCCTCTTCCCTTTGCTCCATACAGCGAAAGTGCTGCTGTGTTGAATAACAAAGTACAGCACAAACACAATTTCATTTGCTGTGTGTTTCTCTGACTTCCAACTGAATGTTGACATGACTGAAATAAATTCAGCTCATTCACAGTGGACTAGATAAATACATTGGACTAGAGTGATTCTTTTTCTGAATATTTCAGGATTTTACTTTCACTTTCAAGCAACTAATGAATGATTAACTAACTAACTAATTCATTAATGGGTCAATAACACAATGACAGTCAGTACAAAACTGATGTAAAGGCTCTGCTGTTGCATCAAAAAACACCTCAACAGGTTTTGGTGTGATATAAACTTAAAAAGAGTTGTTATTCGTATTATTATTAAGGTTTTGTTAACAGCCATTAACATACAACAATTTCACTGCCACAGTTCTCAAAGTGCATATGTTAAGTGCTAAGGGCGTGGGAACACTTTTCTTTTGTTCGTAGATAGCTGCTGACAGCTAGTATGAAGTCATTCTAGTCACCACGTTTATGTTCAGTTCAATGCGTCACAGGACTTTTCTTAGACAAAGCAATGTACAATGTAATGCACTTGTAATGCACATACAATACACAACATATGTTGTTAATGCACCGTTTTGAGTTCAGGGGAGTCGCCATGCCCAAAAAGGATTACAACATATCAGTATGCAAAATGAGCAGCTTAGCTTGAAGTCTTTTACTCCTTCACTACTGTGTAGTTTGCATTGCCTTATCAACACACCCTTCAGTCTGAGCCTATATCAGTTATATAATATATCAGGAAGCTAATGCATGGGTCCCATCTCAGTGACATTTACACTGACACGATTATCTCTCAGTATGAATAAAAGGTGTGTATGGGGCGTGAAGAACTGGGTGTTTCCTATAAAACAGGTTCTTGATGGGATCTTTTTCACAACAATAATCATATTACATGCAAACCATAATCTTATTCTACTAAATGTAATGGAAGATTACACATTAGGCAACAGTGTGCCGCTGTATTTAGTACTGGCTGAATGCAGAAAACAAAACGCTTCACACAAGCTTTCAGTTCCCTGTTGACTGATATGGCATCTTAAGATTCATTTAAACAAATGTAACACAGTGGCTCAACCAAAGACTCTGGAAGGTTTAGTTCTAGTTTTATCCTGGAGGGATTTGCTTTGAGAAGTTGTGTATTTTTATAGAAGGAGTGAGCTGGCTTCGATAATGAGGTGGGTGAAAGACGAAACAAAATATCACCATTTTTTACCCAAACACCTCTACCTTCAGACACATCAATACAATACAGTATATACAGGATATATACAGTATGTGCATATGATCACCAAAGTTAATTTAACTCAGGTACAAACAATTTTAAGCTATTAAGACCAGGAAAAACAAATCTAAGCCTATAATATGTATATCACTATATTACAAGAGGCAGACTCCCAGATGATACCTCATCTATCACTTAATCTATGTTACATCAACATATCACCAACATTGTCACTTAAAACAGGCATAACTAAACTGCTTAACCTTGTCTATGCAAGCCAGGAAATGTGGTCAAAACAACGAGCTATCTTGAAGAAGAAGGCGCCTTTTCAACCAGGGACTCAAGTGACAAATGTAATCTCTCATCTTTGGCCCAACAGAAACATTGCTACTGAACGGACGACAAACATCTTGTTTAGGGCCACTAGAAAATTAACAAACTGCAGATTAAACACCTCTGCTAATTCACACCACACATCCCATTTATGTACATGTTTTTTTTTTTCATCTGGATGCCCTATGTGTAAAAACTTAAAGCAATAGTTGCCGAGAGTTCAAGAAGAAAACACATTCAAATAGGCAAAGCACAAGCAAAACACAAGCGAGGACTCTGACAAAACATACGTCATGATTAGAAAAAACATGCTGCAAATGAAGAAGACAGAAGAACAGAGAGAAACATTCACCAGTTTGACAACACACAGTATATACGGCATGGACACAGACAACACAGACAACTGGAAAACAGAAGCAGATACAGAAATGCTGAAACTGGTTAACAAAAAAACTACAGATTAAACCATACGGGATACAACTGGAGAGTAGTAATAGTAAATGCATATTTTTAAAAAAAGAATCTAATAACAAATAAAAACAATATTTTAGTTCATATAAACACACAGAAGTTGTGTCTCAGATATTTTATGTGGTGAACACATTATTATCAGGTTGATTTAACATTATTAAGAATATGCTATGATTTCACGAAGAGGGTAATACATAATCATTGATAAACTGATCACAGAATATTGTACTAAAAAGTGTCAACATGCTAGAAGAAAGACAAAGACAAAGACAAAGACATGTTCAAAGGAAGTGAATGGGAGCTGGATGCATTTGGGTGAATAGAGGGTAAGGGCCAGGGTCTTTTTGTTAGAAATCTTTAGTCTAGATAACCCTGATGACAGGACAGTGGTAAACATGGCAGTGGTAACAAACACACTGGTCTTCATCAGAGAAGTGGCCCTTTAAGGTTTTGCTGAAGAAACATCTGTTACATTTACAGTGGTTACTGATACAGTGGTTACTGATACAGACTGCATGACAATCACAACAATGAATGGGCCTCAGCATGTTGTTAACAGTGTGTGCTTACAGTAGCACTGTACCAACACTTACAACTGCTCCACAGGCCCTGGTTTGCTTTTATTTATTCTGACCACGAAGTAGCTAGCTGCAGCCGGTTATCAGATTGCACAGTTTGCACAAGACGGGATGCGGAGATGCTAAAATGCGTGTAACCCGGCGGCAGCCCCAGCGGGACACCAAACAACTGTCAAACCAGAAACGTCAACAACGCTTTGACGTCTGTCGACCTTAAATCCAGACTAGCTAGCTGAGTCAAATCACTGACACTCCACTGTCACTAGTAAAGCTAATGGTCCCTACGACGCTGGGTCAATAAAATGCGGCGTATCGCTTTCCCTCAAGCTACAAAGGTCACCGGTGTGCAGAGGAAACACTGTAGCAGGCACCGTCCGGTTGTTGGGGGGTGGTGGTTGGGGGGGGGCTGGCTAGCAAGGCAGCGGACAAACCTCCGTTAACGTACATTACCTTCAGCGGATTCCCAGAGTCTCTACCGAGGCCGCTCGGTGCGGGAAACAGAGGATATCTCTTCTCTTTGCGCTCATGCGAGTTACTGTAACCTACATGAGGAGGTCCGGGGCTGTACAGTGGTCCTGAAACGGTACTGAGGTAGCACCTTGTGTTGCACTGACGCCAATATTACACCTCAGTGACGTGGAGCGCCTCTTCCTCCTTCGTCTCTTCCGCGTTGCGACGACGGGCCGCGCGAGCGTGCACAGCGTGACGTGCCTCCTCCTCCTCCTCCTCCTCCTCTTCCTCCTCCAACAGCATCCTTCAGCAGGTGGATGCCTGGATTCAATGGCGAGTATCATCAATAAACCCGCCCCGAGGTGTGCCATTGATAGCTCACTTAAAATTAGGATTTGCACTGGAGACATATATTGACTAGATTTGTTTTTTAATTTGGATTTGTTCCCCTTTTTTGTGTGTTAGTATGAGTAGGCTATGATTTATATTAGATATGATACACTTTATTAATCTGAGGCATGGACATTGATGTCTAAATAATGTCTTATAAAATAAATATACAAAATAAAGCATGAAAAACCGAAAAAAGAAAAGCTACTAAATACTATATACCACAAATACACCTTGTAAAAAAGAGGTTAAAATGTTATGTGACCAAAAATAATGTTAAAAAAATAAAGGAGGCTAAAGATTATATAGTAAAAAAAGAATAAACAATATTTTACAATACAATTGGACCTGAAAGAATGGAAATGGTTGGTTGACAGAGTCATGAGTCTGCATATAGTCAGACTATAGTCATAAATGTCCCAGTGAAGCTACAAAGAAATATTATAAGACAAACATCCTCAACACAAGAACTATTTAAAGAAAAAGATAAAGGTTTTGCAATGCTTCCATACTGCCCACATATGTAAATATGCTATCTGAGGTAAGATCTCAAATGTGCACGCAAGACAGCATTTCTGAACTATAAGCATTATACAAGGAATAATAGGGGTGAAATCTTAATGCTGGAATAGACCGTTCAAGTAATGTTTAAAGATTTCTGCCGAAGGAGGTTTTACAAAGTGGTAACGAACATGCTGTCTGAACACATGCCACAGCTGTTAAATTATTCAAAGAGTAAATATACAACTGCACGAATATGTGAACAATATTGAAAGAGACAAAAAATTGATTTAAAAACACACTAGTTTTATTTGATGAAATCCCCACACAGCAAATTAAATTGTGTAGCGTTTCCAGGAATCCGAGCAAAGAACAATATTTCCACATCTTTACATACAACACATACAGAAACCCACCACTTACACACCACATACAAATCCTCTGGAGAAAGCACAGCCAAATGCACTGTCACTAATTTAAAGTTCAGAAGAGTTTGTTAGAGAAAAAAAAACAAATTTAGTAGTGTTTAAAATTCACTTTGTACCAAGGAAAAGCCCAATTTAAAAACCACAATATAAACTGTAAACTATTAACAGTGCAAACTGTCTTAACAGGCCTATGTCTGTCTACTCTACAGCCTGTTTAATAGTATTGCACACACACACACACACACACATTTATTATACACACACCTGTTGCTGACTCGCTACAGATTTTTTAAAGTGCTAGCTTGGAATTAGATTGAGAGCCAGCCTGCGATAATATTTGGTTCTAAATTCATCACTGAAAAGCAGGCTAGGCATGCATTTTAATAAAAAAAAAAACAATAAAATCAGCTGTGTATGTTGAGATTACAAGCCTTTTTATCACATCTTTATAACTACACAACAACTGTGCTGTGACCAGAGTGGAACAAACTAATAGAAGAAAACCACCTTAAAAAAACCCAACAGAGAGAACATTCAGCGGTTTGTTAACAGGACAATAATTACATTCTGTGATGGGAATAAAACCGTGAACCTGCCCTGTAAATTCATAAATGCATAGACATGTTTTGAAGATGTTTAAACAGTCAGTTTTTTTTTTTTTTATATACACAGGAGTCAGGGTTCAAGGGCTGTGACGTCTGATGGTTGGAGTGAAATCAATGACAGAAACACCTGTGAGACAATACGCACGTCACAGAAATCCACTATTTCATTTGGAGACTGGAGAAAGTTTCTGTTCAGCTAAATGCAAGAACATGAATTTATTAAATGCTTTTAACCCAAAACAAAAAACTTCCACACTCATAACCAAAATATTTAAATTGACTAATCAAACCAACACCACAAAACAGAGGAAGAAAAGGTTGTTAGAACCATTTGAAAAACACTCCCTTGATAAAAGGCAGCCGAACAAAGAAACATCCGTTTACAGTTATTTCCACCAATAGTGACACACGTCTTTTCAAGTCCACAAGCAAACACCAACTAATAACATTTCAGATGTACTTTATTTCACTGAAAATAATATACTCTGGATTAATATGTACATGGAAGTTAAATCAAACATTTTGAAAGATCAGCTTATTATCTGACATTAGAGAGAAGGCGGAGATATCGAACTGACTGTTGTGGACAAAGCTGCAAATCAAACCGAACTCGTTTCTGTGAGGAAAGGTACAGTAGTTAAGGTTTTCCAGGCCTGACGGATAGAGGTAGGTAGCATTAGGCCCCAAATCAGGACCAGAAACCTGAGAAAACACACACACCGATTACCCTAACCCTCCAGAAATCAAAATATACATGAATGTACAAACGAACCCTACGTGCAGGCACATTTACAGTATAAGTCTATTACAAAACACAAGTGTGGTTGCCAAGCAAACAGTCTGTCTAGTGTGCTGTCTTAGACTTGAATATCTGAGCTGATTTAAAATCAAAGCCAATCAACCACTTAGGTGTCTGTCTGATAGCCAAACTCACCGGTGACATGCTAATATGTTACAGTTCATGCGTCTGCACTGCAAGTAAACGGTGGTTTTGATAGTAAAAAGGTACTGAACAGTGTGTTTAGTGATAGCACTTTTGTAAGAACTGCATAACTCTGTTTCTTGTTTGTTTCTTAACTGTGTTTAAAGGCTGTTAGAAACACGGCGCTGTGAGTTGCACTTAAGTCAGCACCAGAAACCAACACGCTTTGGCTATTAGTGACTTTGCAGCTGTCAAACTAATGTTGACTACAAGTACAAGGTGTTCTGGTACCTGGCTGGTTTTATGATGCTGAAAGCCACATTCAGTGCTGTGCAAACAGTGAGAGGCTTTTAAATCCAAGTAACTACTCCAGGATTCATGTTTATGTTAGGAAAAGGTGAATGTTTGTGTGAGTGTGACAGTCACCGTGTGACATCTATGTGCTGATTATGTTTACAACATTTAAAAAAGTGAAGAAGCTATTTAGGTAGTGATCAATACGTGATGATTGTAAAAGTTTATCATGTGCGAGGCTTCTTTCGTCCTATTGTGCAAAAACAGCTCAACAAAAAAAAAAAATTGTGACATGGAAGAAAAGTAGTGTTTTCTGTGATGAAGTCAAGAGTAAATAAGTAACAAGTCATAATGAATACTATTAACTGTTATAACTTTGACACCAGTGTCTGTGATCAAACTCTACCTACAGTAAAAACTCACATACAGTATTTATGCTGATAATTATGTCCATAATGCTTGTGCAAAGACACCAACATCTGCTTGCTAGAGCAAACTAAGTGAGCCATTCCCTAAAAAAAAGGCACAAAGGCACTAGCTTTAAAAGTAGCTACAAGGCTCTCTCAGTTCCACCAAGATTACATCTAAACCTATGCTGCTACATTTAGACAAATAGTTACAGAAAGGAGCCAAAGAAACAAAGATCACCCAATAAATCGATAAACACAAATTAATCTATGAACATAAACCTGGCAACAGAGGAGGTGTAAGTGTAAGCTCGAAGGCGTTTAATGTTAAAACCATAAAGATTTAAAGTAGCTGCAGACTAACTTTGCAGCCAATTACACTGCATTAACAGCTGATTATAACTGGCAATTAAAACCATGTCAATACAATTAAACAAATACAGAGACTTTGGTATGTAGAGAAGACCTTTCACATACCATATACCAATCTCTGGAGACCTTTGTACATGGACACTAATATTCAGTGGCATGCTCTTGTATGTGGATCATACACCATTACATACCAACTCTAAATAGGCCAGTTCTGGCAGAGATCCCATTTTCACATTTCACATAAAGATCCTTATCACATCTGCCTCATCAGTTGGATTGTACTCCATCACCCTGTCAATAAAACCCTATCTTCCCAGAACATGCCATTAATTCGATGCAGAAACTAATGCATCAACCCACTCCCGTCCCTCCTCAGAAGGTCAGTCTCTTAGCGGTGATGAACTCTTCCAGTTGGACCTTGCCACTGCCCATGAGGCCGAACGCTGGATACATTGTTCCTGAACAATCCACCTGCCTCTCGTAAAGGCACCTCATGGTGTCGGCGTCGTAAAAATACACACGGCATGCGTCGTAATCCAGGCATATGCCCAAGCGCTGTGGCAAGGGAAGCACGCGGTTGCCAGGGTCGCCGGGCGGGGCGTTTGCTGTGGAAACGGAGGAGGAGGAAGAAGTCTTAGGGATGAAGAGTTTGCCCATGCCCAGGGTGAGGAGGGTGAAGGGCTGGGAGAGCTCGTAGCATGTGTCCTCGCTGCCGCTGTCATGCCCGCTGTCATGGTCATACCTGGTGAAAGGAAGATGAGAGGCAAGTGTTTTGAAACTTACGTCAAAGCCAAAGTCATAATCGTGTGTAAAATAGATCTAGAATCTGCCCCAGTTCATCAAGTGAGAATGGAGGTTGGCCAAAATTGTTGAATAAGGCCAAAATTAATGATCAATTTCATTATCAATTTATTTGCTGATTATTTTCTCGATTGATAGTTTACTCTATAAAATGTTAGATAATGGAGAAATTTTAAAAAGGGTTTTTAATTCTTGGTAATTAATTGATTCAGGTTACTTTACTTGTACCTGCAAGTAGATTTGGTTTGCAGTAAAAAATAAATAAATAAAAAATAAAAATATAGACAAATAGATAAACATGATAAATTACTACAAAAAGAGAAAGACCAAAAAAAAAAAAATTATATATATATATAAAAAATTATAAATAAGGAAAAAATAAGAATTAATTTTCTGTCACTTGACTAAGAGCTACAGAGATGTAGGAATTATTTAATTACCATTAGAAAAGCCACAAAAACTGATTAACTATTCCTCTCAAAAAGAAAAATGCATACTCAACCTTGAAATGACTAGCTGAATGCTGTGTGGCGTTTATCACCCGTGCATGCATTATGTAATTACCATAGAACTAATATGCATTTGTGTAAATTATGTGTTCCTTTACATGCTTTTAGACGATCTGATCCAGTGAGAAAGGCAGGCTTTGTCTGTGAGTAAGCTCTTTACGAGTTTACACTGGTTCTCTTACATCACAGGATTAGGTATGACTCAAACACACTTATCACTGTACTGAGATTGTTTGCGTCTGTATTGTGTCTGTATAAGTTAAAAGATAAACAATATGTACAACACAGTCGCTCGCCAAATCTTTACTGATTACGGACAAACTGTCGATGATAGCTGTGTGTACATCTTGTGCTCGCACTTACCTTGGGCTGCTGGTATCTCTGGGATTGTGAAACCATTCAAGCAGCTTTGAGTCAGAGGCCACTCCAACTTTAACCATGTAGGAGTACGGCTCCACCTTGAAGGCCCAATAGTGTCTGCAAAACAAACAATTCCATGTTTCATTGCAGGACTGGAAATTGATGGTGATCCACGGACACACTCATTTCCTGACTTGTCCCTAAAATGTCGTCAGTGATTAATTAAATATCACTCTTATGCATCATGGTGACATAATATATAATCCTCCCACCTTGTGCGCAAAAATAAAAGTTCCATCTCTGCTCCCTCTCTATTGAATATTTTATAAAGCATGAGATATTGATAGTCTAATAAGCAGGATACCAGTGAGCTTCTACACTGTGTGCTGCACCGTCTGTTCTGCCTAGATTTAACTCTCAATGACTTCTTCTTACATTGAGGCTCACCCCAATCGACAGTAATTTGTTTTGTAACAAATAAATTATGCTTCTGGGCACAACTTCTTTGTACAAAGACCCAGTGTTGTCAGTTCTTGGCATACCTTCCCTGAGAGATGCCCGTGTCCCCAATTATGTAGTCTAGTCCGATGTAGCTGCCAGTCTGCACACGATCTGCTGCGAGGAGGAAGGCCATGCCTGCTACGTTCTCCACAGTGTCCCGTCGCTTGTTCAGAATGAGCCGCTCCGTACTGAAGCCACACTTGTCGCTGAACAGGAATCCAAAAGCTGCATGTGAAGAGACAAAGGTTGAATGAGCCAGAGGACAGACGAAAAAGACAGAAAAGGTGGACAAGAAGGAAGTTTGCAGAGAACAGACATAAGACAACAGATTGGGTAAAACTTGTGCTAAAGGCAGTGTTTTATTCCCTCTGTTGGGGAATAAACAGGTTTGGAATTGGGTAGGTGACAAAAACGGACACACGAGGGTGCTATAGCACAATCTTAAAGAGCTACACAAAGACCCACTTGCCACCATCACACCATGGAGAATAACAGCCTAATGACACTCACTCCTCATTTCTCACATGCAGCTGCCACTTATATTCCTCATCTGGATACGATTAAATGCATTCTATAAATAGTTTATGGACCAAAGGCCACAATTACCATAATCCAGGACACATATACGCTGACATAATTATGCATGTTCACTCAACCATCCCGTGCAATCTAAGATCTACACTGGGGAAGACCAGTTAATTTGCGTGTGTCTAGGGAAGTCGTTCGAACAACTAGGCCATGATCATTATAATATTATAAGCCTGCCTACAGCCCAGACAACAATGCTGCAGTTTTATGCAAAGTTATGTAGTAGGGATGCACTAATACTGGCAGTGATCATGTCAGGCTAAACTGGAAGCCTAAAACGTAATACCTCATGAAATGACATGCCTTAATTGTAGGCATCTTTGGAGCATACAAGGTGGTATTCTCCAACGACTGAATTTGGATTTGTTTGTTTTTGTTCACTGACACTGGTTAGTTTACCAAAAATAAGAGATGGGAAAGCTGATTCATTAAGTGTTTAAGTGGAATTGGTGTAATTTTCAATAAGAAAAAAAAAAAGCTAGATCCATATTGCAGAAGAACCTGTGATATTTGCTTAGTACTGCAAGTTGATGCTACCAGTCATTTAATAAATAAAATAGAAATGGGGGAAAAGATAATTGATGTAGCATGAAATTGGTCCCAAAGCAGATATATTTTAATTTCACATCCAGTTAAGAAGCAGGGTTTTTTTTTAAGTTAATGCTGACACCTTGGACAGAAAACTCAACCACAGCCTCGTTTAGTTCAGTTTCATTCAGTTTTGGGCTAAAACATAAAAGGGGCATTTACTTTTTACACAACCAGCATATTAACTGTTGAACATGATGTTTTCATGATAGGTTATAAAGTGAGTAAATGAGTCAGTATTAACACTTACAAATGCTGCCTAAAAGGTTACATGTTTTAATGTGGTCAGAATTTTAAGCAAGGGTACAAAAAAAAAAAAAAAAACATTTGTTGTCTGCAACTCTGTCCCCCTCATGCTGCGTCGTGTGTGTTTGGGTGTGTGTGAGCGAGTGCATGTTTGTCCTCTGCGTTTCACCCTGGCCTGAAATTTCACCTCATTACTGACGCACAGTGAATCCATCCACTCAGTCTTACACGAACCAGAGAGCACAGGAATGTGGAAGCTCCAGTCACAACACAAATGACAAGGCTTGTGCAGGACGCAAATCAACGCACAGCCATATCAGATTGGGGAGTGACGTGTCATGTATGCATGTGTGCGACAGACTTTTGATGCAGGCTCCTGCCGTGGGAGGGGGGAAAAGACAGAAGTGTGTCAAAACTAATTGACACAGAAAACCACCTGCAAATCGCAGACTTCTACACAGCAAGGAGCCCAAAAACAAGGGGAATATAAATCAAAGAGACTGGGAAGATACGATTTGAATTCAAGTTCAGCAGATGGTTGGGGATGATGATAATTTTTAATGAATTCCACCTTGCGTCTGTCAGGCAGCTTAAAAAGGCAGCAACAGATGCAACTGCAGCTTTCTTCTCCAAGCTGTCGCGCTGTACGACACAATCCACTCCCACACAGTCAGACAAAAGCTATTTTGGTTTTGGCCGTCTGAAACACAAAAGCCATTACCATCGCGATGAACTAAAAACACCACTGTGCTTCATTACCTCCACCGTGCATGCTACAGAACTCAAACAGTGAAGCGTTTGTCATCCGCTAATCTTCCTAAAAATCGAGCCCGATGCAAAACACTCAGACGTGCTCTGAGAGGTAAAGGGGATAGAGGAGCTTAGCTGCTGCCTTGGCCAAAAAGAGGCCCAATAATAGGGGCAGGTTCTCCGATAGCCAGAAGCTTAATCCTGTAAATAACAGTTTTCCAATTAATTAATGCACTTAGCATCCACAACAATAACACAGCCTGAACTGATTGAGTTTAAGAAAAAAAATCCAAAGATTATGCTATGTTTTTTTTGTTTTGTTTTTTAAAAGTCACCAACATTTCGTCTTCAGGAACTCAACCAACTCACGTTGCCTCAAAACCTCCCTTCCTCCTTTACCAGTGACATAAAACTAAATACTCAAAAGGACAGACCCACAACACACACCCATCACAGGGGCAAATTTCCCCACACCACAAAGGCTTACAAGGTGCAGGTGGTGTGTGGAAGGTGACCTCGGGGCTGTAGGGGCTGAACATGGAGTTCCTGCAGCTCCGGACCCTGAAGGCGTACAGGCTGTTGGGGTCAAGGTCACACACCACAGCGCTGGGACCGTACACCCTGTCTGTAGCCCTCCAGACCCCACTGTCCTCACCGTCCTCCTGGGATGGGGACTGGCTCGGGCCCCCGAGTCTGGAGAGAAAGGAGATTATAGTCAAGTAATTTAAATGTTTCAACATACCTGCAGCTTTTCTTTGGATCTAAAACAGTGGATCTTTGTATGTTTGCACCCACCTGCGGTATTCAAGCACGTGGTGATCAGTAGGCAGGTGGTCATCAGACAGCCTCCAGCAGATTGAGGCCTCGTTGTAGACTTTGCTACTGGACAAGTCAATCAGAGGAGGGTCTGGAACTGGAAACGGGCAAGAAAGTACATGGAGAAAAGAAAGATAACTAGTTAGTAAAACGTAAACCAGGGATGCAAAACTGTTAACGTAGGTCATCTTACAATTAGTTATGAGTTGTAGTAAGTAGACAAGAAGACCTTGCAGTTGTATTTTTGATTTAAAACATAATACACAAGACAGAGGTTAATGCTGAAAACCTGTTTCTGGTGATTAGAATAATGTGAGAGATCTTATACGTAATTTAAACTAAACTATTGCAAAAGCAAAGAAAATCTTAATCGTGCTTGGTGTAGTACTTCAGCTCAGTAACTTGGGTTTAAGCAAAAGCAGCAGTGTTAAGTGTGGCAAAGATTAGATTTGTCAGGATCAGGACTATCCACTTGGGACAATGGACAAGACTGTCTTGCATAATGGAGCCTGTTAAGAGGTTTTCACATAAACTGCCAGGAAATGCACTTTGTAAAGCCCCCCCACCACTGCAACCACCTCTCTCTTCCGCTCTCCCACTTTCACCTTCATCCACTCCACTTTCTCATCACATTTGTTTTTTCCTCCACTTAGACTTCCTACGTCTTTACGTTCATCTACATGAACAGCAGCACCACTTCCCCATCCGTCCTCTCATCCATGTCAACAGCATCCACTCTGAAATGATTCTGTTCACCTCATCATTTACTGTTCTCTCAATCTAAAGCTCCTTTTTCTCCAGAAACAGCATGTAGGTCATTGGCTTTTCTATCTATTAGAGAGAGATCATGCCATTCATCCCTCTCCCGGTGAGAATTCCCCTACTCATCTCCTTTGTAATATTTCCCCTCTCTCTGGTTTCTCTACTCTTCCCATTTTCTCCATCTTTTGACATCCCCAATCCTTTTCTTGTCTAAAGCGTTTTCCCCTTATAGACACCCCTCGCTGACCCGTGTCAGCACAGCTGCCGAGCTTTCTGAGCCTTCAAAGTCACTTGGATAATCCGGAGTCTCCAAAGTCTTTTTCTCCCAGGCACATTAGCTCCTTCATGAGTTAGTCCTCTTACAGCCCTGTGCATCTTCATGTCTTTAAGCACATCTACATCGTCATGATGGTAACATTGTATGTGCAGATACATTGTAGAGTGTACATTAGATTAAAAAAAAAAAAAAAAGCTTTCTTGTTTCTGTTTCCATGAACTTTGAAATTGTATCATTATTTTTAAAGTGCTTTAGCATTTTGCCTGGGAGAATGGAGAATGGCCAACCTTGGGTCTAATCTTTAATTTGTATGTGTTGATCATCAACATTGTCCCTTACAAATAAAATATATATTTAAAAAAAATTTTAAAAAACATTTCCTTCTTTACCCCTGTAACACAATTACACCGCTCCCCCACATTCATGTTTGCTAAGTAACCACAGAAAGTAATGAGTTACCACTCCAGTGTAAATCACATACAGGCGTTCTTCAAGACACAAAGCAGTCACTACACTGACAAATAAGATTTTATGTTTGTCACCTGTTTCCAACAGATGGACCAAGAGGCAAAAACCAAACACAGCAGGTAGCAGTCACCAGAGCAACTCAGAACCCCCACTCCACTATTGATCACAGCCAGGACAGGCTGCTGCCAGACAGACAACAGAAAGGCCAAGTTACACTGCAGGGAACTACTTTCTCATTTTCATTCCACTACTCACTCTAAAAATGCGAGGAGACTGGACAACATAACGTTTCCTGATGAAAAGCTCAAATACACTCTATCCGGTGCTGTAATATCTTTAAGAGGCAGTGGAAAGAGTTGAGAGAAGCGCTGTTCTGACATTTTGAGGAAACCCCAATTTGAAATGTAAGACAAATGGGCATTTTACACTTGACAACACAGTCTTTCACAGCCTCTTGAGAAGCAGAGCATGGGGTCAAAACCTGCAGCAGGGCCACAGATGGGTTAACATGGGAGAGCACAAACACGCCGTTATCCAAGAGTGGAAGATATGACTAGAGAAGCATGGACAAGCCATAGGCATTGAGCAAAATCCAACACATACAGCATTATACACCCACAAAACGGCTGGCAATCATATTTACTTGACAATAGGACATAATGTGTTTTTCTATGATTGATGAATAATAGAAATCTTCACATTTAAAAGTCAGCCTTGAGTTTTTCAAAACATCCTTATAACTAAACTACAATGTGTGTGTCTGTATAATAGATGTACAGTATGAGAGCTTACAGGCACTATCCAGAGACAGTATAGCGATTCTTAACTGCTGCATCATCTGTCAAAACTTAATTTGTTTAATTACTGCAGTGTAAAAATGTCCTTACAGCTTCTTCTCTCTCGGAGCTCAGGCTAAGAGCATCATCAATTCCCAGAGGACACTTTAGATTAAAGACACACATCAATGACTGCCACCAAACTGCAGCATGCAGCACTTTCCCAAAAGGATGCAGCAGTGAGTCAGTACATTTTTATATGAGAAGCCCATTTTCTCCAGTGTAGGGATTACAGGAGAACAAAACTATTAATATTCAGTCATTTTAAGCCAGTTTAGACTGAAAGCCTAAAGCATGAGAACAGAGTAAATGAGGATTACCCTGAAGAAGAATATCAGGGTTTGTTTATCCAAAAAGAAAACTGCAGTACAGAGGGTGGATCCATTTCCACTTTGAAACATCTTGTTTGGTTTGCATTTAACATCTGCATTACTTCTACTCATCTGCAGTTTTCATGTGTCAAAATTGTTAATGACAAAACACCACAAAAAAATGACAGAAACACTACAAAAAAAATGACAGAAACACTACAATAGAGCGATATTTTCTTTAGTATGTTCATAGTATGAATCTGAATAAAACTGATTTTTGTAAGTTATTACATGTTAGGCTTTTGCTAATTCGGCTGAAAATATTAATGAAAATATTCAAATATTCAAATAAGGAAAACACCACAACACATAATACAAACACTAAATCTGATCAGATTATCAATTGTCATATTATATCCTGCTTTTTTAAGTGTGTCCTATGAGTAGTTGTTGCTCCAATGACTGAATTTGCCCAGATGGATCTTCATAAACAAATGCCTACAGAATTACTGCTGTAAAAACATGACTTTTTATGTAATTTCTCTACACTTTTCAAGTCTGGGCTTGCAACATAAACACATCCACACCCATCCATTTGTAAGTAGTATCAAATGTCCTTGAAAAAATTAGTTTTTAAAGCATTTCCTTTATCAAACAATCAACTCCACTGTCATTTATTTAACGATTAAGAAGTTATTCATTCCTAGTCCACTGGCCCATAATTCCAGACGGAGCCAACCGTAGCCTCGGAGATAAATCTCACATCACTGATTTTAAACAAACTAACAGGGCTGCTCTCCAGTGTAGCAACAAAAGCCCAAAGCCACAAACTCCTGTCACTCACAGTTGTCTCAGTGACTGTTGGTGACAAACAAAGCTGTCTGTTGTTCAGTGGCATCCACTTGAGGGATAATGGCTCTACGCCAAAGAGACCTCGGCTTTATCTGCGATGTCAGCAATATTTAATCCCTCAATAATTTTAACATTTTTTGAACGCTAAAGTCTGGAAGCACAGCTGCCACTCAAATCTCAACCAGTTACTTTGTATTGACACTGACCAGCCTATCATTTACAACATTTCCACATGCCCCCAAACCTCAGACCAGTCAACGGTAATTGACTAACT